GAGAGAGAGAGAGAATTAAATAAAATTACAAAATAATGAATCATTAATTAAGAAATAAAATCTTATAAAATACTGTATTTTGGTAAGATTAAATCAAATGTTACTATAATTATACTTAATATTCTGTGTGATAATAATATTAACTAGATTTATATGAAGTGCCAAAACTCAAGGATATTTACTGTGAATAAAACAAACACCAGAATAAACACTATTCTGTGTTGAAATCAAATGATTAATAAGAATTAGAAATTCTTCTCATTTGAATTATTATTAAAAATATCAAAAACTTTTTCTATCGTTTTTGTCGAATAAATTATTTTTTCTCATATCAAGTTATTTCAAGTTTGTCTCACCACTAATACTACACTATTTTATACTGTCTTATGGTAGCGTAGAATTGAATTATCCTTGAATACAGTGACAGTTAGTAAAACTTATTACTTGCTCTACTATACTACAAGTGTACTCTATTTATAGTGTACATACACGTGCTAATAGAATACAAATGGTATAAATTGGTATTGATACAATAATTTTTGATTTATTGGTTAATAGTCTTATTGTTTATGAGTTCACGAGTATTGTTTAGTTTTAAAAAAAAATTTTACACTTAATTTAAAGTATAGTACTATTTCATTGTACACTTGATTATATTGAGTGTACATTGTATGGGAATATAAGTGAGAGCTGTTACACAACTTAACAAATGTCTCGATATTTAAAGGCGAGGGATAAACAAATCAGTCGCTTATTATGTAAAACTCATATTTTCGCAGACAATACACCAATAACACAGTGTGTCCTTAGTTTGCCATCACATCATCAATAGATTTTGTATATATTATTCCGCTTTATATATGAAACTCATAAAAATTTCCATATATTAGTCTCATATATAAATAGTTATTACCATTAACCATTAGCTAGAATTTGGACATTTTTTATATTGTTTTTGTAAATCAAAAGTTTCAAATTCACATCAACAAGTAATATGCAAAACGAAAGTTTTCTACCGAAAACAAGTGAGTATTTTACGAGTATTTCAAATACTTTGGAAATTTCATTGCCATTTCAAAATGTAATATAAATGTTTGTCTACTTATATAAGATAAGTAATTTTAAAATTAATTGTTTGTCTTATTTATAGTAAGAAATCCTATTTATGTGACATTTATTGTTAAAATCATTTTTATAAATGATTTTCTTTTATGTAATATAATTAGTGTTTTCTGTATATATTTATCGTAATATAATCAGTATTTTACTCATTAATTTATATTACACTTGGTTTCAGTGGTGTGTCTGGCTTTGAGGAAAGGGATGTATGTATTAAATTTAATTGTGTACTAAAATTAAGAATAAAGAGTTAGTATTGAGTTTAGCTCCCGGTGCGTTATTTAAGTTTACAAAATCCAATTTATTTGTCCAAATTAATTATTTTCTCATTAAATTAATTATATACTATATTATGATTAGTCTATTTCGGTGACTATTTTTAGTTAAAACATTATTTCGCAATTTAAACAAAAGATTTATTTTTCATTTATTTGACAAATTAATTGTAATTCAATGCATAGTCTTTACATTTGATATAAAAGCTTTTTTGTCATTTGACATACAATTGGAAAATAAAAATAATACTTTTATTATAAAATTCAAGATTTAATGACAGATTCTTATCAATAAATTATTAATTATTTGTCTATAAAAATATTCATTCATAGAAAAAGTTATTTTATTTGATATTAGAGTTTTATTAAATTAATTATTTAATTATGCACAATTCATGAAATAAATACTACTAATAATTAATGTAATTTAGCGTTCATATTTATTATTAAACTTTTTTACAATATTTATAGCTTATTGATTTTGATTAACCTTTCTGATAAGCTATACTACTAAATACTACTAAATATTAAAATAATTTTTATTTGTAAATAAAATATTGTTTTGATATAATTATGAATTTGATTTTAATGCCAAATTCAGGTGCATTGATTAGCCCAGAGAGCGTAACCATCGATTAATTAGCGTATTTAATGAAATTAACATTTTCCATTAAAAATGATAAAAGTATTGAAAAATAAAAATCCATTTCCAATACCGTGTATAACAAAAGTCAAAGTCAAGTGCACAACAATTTGCAACTTAATTATCAAAAATGCTTTGAATGTCAACTTATTTGAAATAAATGTGAACTTCTATTGAGTTATTATAATGTAGTTATTATATTCTGTTCATTAGAAGTAATAATAAGTATACAAATAATAGAAATTCCTATAAATACATCATAATTGCATAATTTAGATTTAAATAACATTTTATGGTCTCTCTCTCTCTCTCTCTCT